CTTCCTGGTAGAAAATCCATTCCAGAAAAGCCCTCTGAAGTGAATACTTCTTAAACAAGAAGAGCTTTAAAATGAATACATTTTATAATGAGAAAAAGAAATTGAAATATGGCACACTGCAATGGAATGCCTAATATTCATAGAAAATCCCTGAAATCTGGTAATATCTAAAATTATAATATTTGTCTATTTAGCCATGTCTCCTTAAAAAAAAAGTAACAGTTGAGGTGATAAGATGTAAGACGAAGTCACAAATGTCATCTTGCTCAGGATATATTTTTGCTATATGCAATTATGGTACTTCAGTGTACGGTGTTGCAGATAGCTTTGAGGTAATTTCAGAAATCAGCTTTTATGAGCTGAGATCACGGAAGGGCTTGATTTCTGGATGGGAAACTTATATTGTACCACTGAGCAATGTTTGCTTTGAGTGTTTCCACTTTCTCTCTGTTCTCTGAGTTTCTCAGAGCAGGCTTTAAGTTTACTGTTTGTCTGTTGTTTTCAGAACTGTTTTAAAATCAGTAAAACACACACACACACACACACACACACACACACACACACACACGGGGGGGAGAGAGAGAGAGAGAAAGAGAGAGATTACCGGATAAATGAAATATACAAACAACAAAGAATCAAGATATTGTTCTTGCGATAAAGTTGTCCTTGTAAATACAAACTCTTCTGTATAAAACAGAGCAAACATATTACTTCCATATAAACTTCTTTCATTTCATTCCCGTCCCTCGCCATCCCCAGGGAAATATCCCCGCAAGTTGCCTGTAGTGTGACTCTGACTTTTCTCAGGCCACAGGCAGCACAGTGTCTGAAGCAAAAGGCTCCAGAACTGCTGGAATAGAGAAGTTTCCTTAGCTTGAAGTTGTGACAGAGAAGCACTGGGCCAGACCCCGCCAGGCCCCGGAGCGAGGCAGCAGGTGCGCAGGCGCCGCCTCCTCTGGTCCTGCCTGAGACTCCTAGCAAGGGTCACATCTGTGAGCATCGTGGGTCTGCCGGGAGATTAAAACCTTCATTTACACCTATCAGATGTCCAAGGGAACTACCTGAAGTGTGATATACCTTTGTAGCTTTTACAAGGAGGCCTTTTCAGAAGAGAAAAAGTCCTTTGTTGTAAAGTCTAGCTTTAAATTTAAACTGAAAAAGACTGTTTTTATTTTAGGACTTCAAGAATAGAGGGCATTTTAAAAAGAGAAAGAAAAAAAAGCAACATTCTTGTATGAGATAGTGAAGTAAGTATTCAGAAATTATCAGTATGCCAAATCCTTTTGATGTCCTAGGGACACTCGACCTCTGAGCTACACCACAGTTCTTTGTGTTCTGCATTTTGAGATAGGGTCTCTCTGAGTTGCTCGGGTTGCCTCTGAACTCAGAGTTCTCCTGGGTGAGTCTCCCAAGAACATGGAATTCAGGCGTGTGCTGCAGTATCTGGCTCATGTTAATATATATATGCATATACACATGCATATATATATATACACATACAACTATAGGCTAAAATACCACAGAGATATTATATACAATTAATATAGTGACATAAGGGCTACACCTACGCAGTGTTTTTATGGATTTTTTGAATACTTAAGGAAATATAGTGTAAATAATTTTACTTTGCCAGACAGAAAAAAACTGAGGTTTAGAGGATTTGCTTTTCAAAATTGCTGCAGCAGTTGAATGTAGTACTTCTAGCTCTAAATCAACACAATACATAATAATTTTTAGTACTAAAAAGGATTTATTTTAAATAGTAAGAATTTTGAGTAGCACATTGACTCAGTTACCTGAGGGATATAATTTAGTATTAGTTGTGCAGTGTTGGTAAAGCATAGAAATATTCAAAAATGAGCTGAGATGGCATGGCTTTTGATAAGCTATAAAGGGATTTATATTCTTGGGGTTAGATAGATAATCGACCAATAGGTCCTTGGTTAATATCTGTATATTAGAAATATAAGAATGGACAAGCAGTAGTGGAGGTCACCTGCCCCAAGGGAAAATCTTAGTCCTCTGCTCAACTTCTAGACAAAAGCCAACTTGCAGACCTCATTCTCAGGATGCAGAGTCTCAATAGCAGTGACCACTTGACCTCTTTAGCAGAGACACCCATGGCTCTTTGTTTTGGTAACCATAAACTAGGAAAAGGGAAGCACTGGATTTTTACAGAATTCCTGGATACAGAATGAGTTGATACGGACATTTGACCTTAGATTAAGAGTTAGAAGGAAAGTGAGAAGGAGGCTTTTCAAACTGTCTTCTTTCCTCACTATTTTAATTCAAAAAGCTTTGTTGAGTCACTAACTGGCAGAAAGATGGTGTTAATTCTGCAGAATAATTTATACCCTTCATGGGATTCAACAGGCAGTCTCTGCCTGAAACCACTTTCTAGTACTTTTCCCCCTTTTCTCTATTTGCTTCCAGTTCTCCCTTTTGCCTCAGAACATTTCCCCAAAACACATTTGAGTGTAATTCTCATTTAGGCCCTGCTCTAACTATGACACTTGAAATAGAACCCTCTACTCTCTAACCTTTCTCCTTCTATCTTTAAGACATCTTATTTTTTTACTTCAAAACTATTTAGCATCATATTTTCCAATAACAATTTTTAAACACAACTACAACAAACATTCACAAACATGTCATCCCCATACCCAATTAGATTGTAAGTTATTCTGGTAAATTCTCAGTTATCTTTTCATTTTGTTGTTCTTCAGTAAGTAGTTTGCTGACTTTTTTTACACTGATAACTCACTTGCTCAATTTAACATGATGTATGTTTCTGTTGCTATTGTATGTGTAGATTCAGTTGAGATGAATGAATATTTTGAGTTGAGCTAAAAAGTAATAATTTAGCATTTACATGATGTCTTAGCTACTTTGTCATTGCTGAGACACAAAATCTGAACCCATAACTTGAAGAGAGCTTTATTTTGGCTCGCAGTTTGTAGAGGTTTAAGTCCACAGTTGGCTGGCTCCAAGGCAGGGCGGCCTGGCAGAGGAGGCTTACCTAGGGCCTAGCAGGCAGGAAGCAGGGAGAGATCAAGGGAGGAGTTTGGAAAAGATGCATCCAGGCCACCCTGCAGTGACCACGTCCTCTGACCAGGCTTCACTGCCCAGCATCACCTTTAACTGTAAACTCATCAGCAGCATAGTGTTGATGGATTAGTCCCCTGATGAATATCATGAAGCCATGATCTAATCGCTTTCTGAAAGATGTGCCTATAAGCACACAGAATTTGGGGGTACATCTAGATATAAATCGCAGCATATGACTATAAATTTAACCTTAGTTTTACGCTTGAATTCTTTTCCCATGTTTACAAGATGAGTTCTTCTCTGTTAATATTGATAACCTTTGTCTTGAGTATTCCGGCCTTACAGCTTCCATTTTCCTCTCACTTGAAACATAGCATGTTCTGTATTGCTCCCTACTGGGTAACAGCCGCTTTATAAATGGAACAGTATAATCTTTAAGGATCCCAAGATGCCATCAATCTAAGGAATTTCAGTCTTTTGCTCATTTAAGCTTTTGAAGCTCAGTGTAAGGTGGTGGGCATATTTTACCATACTAGGTAAATCACAGAACGCTTACAATTTTGGGGAGTGAATAGATTTTTGAAATCATTGTAGTTTTTATAGCAATATTATTTTACATAAAGATCTCCCCTTTTCACTTAAACTAATTGATTGAATTATTTCCCTACATATCTTACAGTAGCCTTTAAAATACAGTGAAATTACTTTAAAATATGGTACTTTAAATCAAGAAGTTGATAAGAAAAAGCAGACACTGAGTTTATCTCAAATTGTCTGCATATTATAAAACCTGAAGATTTAAAAGCTTGAAACAATATCGCTTGTTGGAGGTTTGGAGGCAATAAGTTCAAGAACAAGACAATTTAGTGTTTTTAAAGGTACTAGAAAACAGAGTCCAACACAGGGATATTTGAAGAACTTATTTGTCACCACAACTTGCTTCTTGTCTAGCCATGTAATCTGCAATACAAGGAACACTATCTGTGAAGCGCACTGGTTTGCTCACTATTATACTGAAGACAGGATGAATTACTACGGGATTTTGTCTGACATACTCTTCCCTACAGCCGCACACATGTGCTCATGTGAGCCGCAAAGTCACGGTTGCCAAAGCAGTAAATGGAAACTGCACCTGGTTGGCTTTGAAATCACAGTGGATGGGCAGCATTAAGAGTTTTGGAAGAGTATTTTCTGAGTGAGTTATTCTCATATTAAAAATGATTCAGCGTCTGGGCTGAGGGTTAGAGGTGGGCATGACAGGAAGCCAGAGTAGAGACTGACTGGTGAATGAAGAGATTCGGTGCTCTGATCCCACATCTCCTCAGTTTAGCATCCAAGTTTGGGACAATGAAACCTCAGGCAAGAGTGGGTGTTTGAGAGTATAATGGACCCCGTGCTCTCCAATGTGCCTATTTAACCCGGATAAATGCGGCATTGTGGATACTCCTCGTGCCACTCTGGCCAGGGAGTAGGAAGAGCAGAGATGCTTGTTGGGCTGGGATGTGAGATGGTTACAAAGCGTGCCTTGCTTCCCGCGGTCCTGACTTACATGTGCTCTTTGTATATCTTGGTTTTTTTTTGTGTTTGTGATGTCTGTTATATTTAATTCTTATGCCAAACTCTTTTCTGATGAAGAAAGCATTGTGCTTTATGCAAGAATGAAAACCTCAAAATAACCACCATAAAACTTCTCAGACTTATGGGAGAATAAACTAGGATGGTCCACAGATATTAGGATTAAATCCACAAACGTTGGAATTATAAATGTTTAGAGCCGCCCAGGCTAGAAGACAAGCCCAAACCACCATTAGAAGAATGAAGTGTGATATGGTCCAAAATGTATCCTGAAAGTTTTGTCTCAACCCTCAGTCTGAATAGTGAGGATCGGTCTTCAGTTCAGTCCAGCCAGCAGAAATTGACTGTGCAATTTCCTGTTGTATTTATTATACAGAATATGTGCATTCTAGAAGGTTCCTTTAGTGCTACACTGTTGTGCTTTTTGTCCCACCAATTTGAGGGTGTGCAAATTCCACAAAGTCATCAGTGAGAACATCCCATGCTCCTTCTTCATCATAATTAGACATGTCACCTGCGATCATGTACTGAAGTCTAGAAGAAGATTCCAAGTATCTTTTGGTATTGATTGTTTGTGATGTTCCAACAAAAATTTATTCCATAAGTCTAAGAATTTAAATCTTCCATTAAGTACTATGTTCCTGTAGGCAATGGCCATTTCTAGATCTAATTCTTTTTGTCCTGGATTCTTTGCAAAATTAAAAGTAAACTGGTAAATATTCTTAAATCGTCCTGGTTCTTTCAATTCTTGCTCCATCTTGGGTATTTGAGCCTTTAGCTTTTCTATGCTGTGACATCCGAATTCTGTCATGCCCTCCATGAACTCCAGCTTGGAGAACTCACATTGTGTTGCTGCTCTGAACTTCCATTCAATGATCGAAACACTAATGCTGGCTGGGTCAAGTGCCAGGTCATCACAAAATTGCTGTATCCCATCTATTCCAATTTTATTTTCATCTTGAGGATCATGTTGGTGCCCTCCAGGCCTCCCCGCTCCTCCTCCAGCTCCTCATCAAATGGACGGTGGCAGCAGCAGTGAGGTGGCGGCTCCTCTCCTCTTTGTATATCTTATGTCTGATAACATGCCCAGCTTTGGATGGTAAAATACATGATCACTCTAGCTCTAAGTGGGGGCTGTGGTCTGACTGCAATTTGCACCTGCCAAAGCTCATGTTGCACATTAATTTCCCAAGGTAATCACAGTGAGGTGGAGCAGGAGTCACAGGAGATAATTAGGTAATGAGGGCGTGTCTCTCAGAAAAGAAGGGCTTAATGCCTACCAGAATGGTGGGGCTACTTCCCACAGGACCAGGTTGTGACAGAAAGATCAGTGGCTCCTCTGTCCTCTGTCACTTCCCTTCTTGCTGTGTGAGTTCTCCCATACATGCTGCTTGTTGCTTCCACACATTTCTGTCATTCATCCTTGGCCACGCCATGCTGTTTGGACTTGGCAGTCACCAAAATCAGGAACCGGATAAGTCTCTTTTTCGCACATTACTCAGTGTGAGGTAGTCTGTTATAGTACCACAGAATAAACTAAGACATGGAATGTAAAGCAGCCTCACCAAGTTTCCCATAGTACTCTAGTGGGATAAAAATGTGGCTGCATCATATTTGGTTCCACTTAATTTAAAAAGACACAGAAATGAAAGGAATTTCAGGATCCCTGATGAATGCACAAGTTCCTATATGTGTACAGTAATTTGCATTTCAGTAGATACGAACGGCTGAACAGCAAGTAATATGCCAAATAGTATGACCCTACTCAGTAATGGCAGTCTGCCATCGTGAAATATTGGAATATGAAGAGCTATGGAAGGTTCTAGAATAACCCTGAAATGACTATGCTGAGCTAACACTGAATAAGATTATGTTTTTGGTCGTCACTTGGAATGGAAATTGGAGGAAGAAAACCAAAATTCAGTTATAGTAAGATAAAGCAAAGACATGTAGATTGAGACATGTGTACCTACTGTAAATGATGTTCAAATGATTCCCCACAGCGTTTGAACAGGTCCAGGTCCTCAGAAAAACTTCAGTGGCAAAAAAGGTATCCTGGGTGTGGGATCTGAGCTTATCGTTCCTGCGTTAATGAGTTCCTGGTTATACCCGCATTTTAACCTAAGAAAGAAATTTGCTACTGACATAACATTACAGAAATTTGTAATTTTCAAACTTCCTCACAACCCCAAAGTGACATGGTCCCCTTCAATTTTCAGTAATATACCCAGAAGATAATAATTTCTTATTCTCTGAAAAGCAAGTCACCATATTGAAAGCACTGCCAATTCCTTACTATTGCAGTAACCTCCCAACTGGTCCTCTTTGCTATTCTGGTTGCCCTGTGATCTTCTCTCAACATAGCAGCCTGAATCACACTTTTAAAAGGATAAATCAGGCTGCCTCTGTGCTCATGACTGTTCGATTAGGTCTGTTCACTTAGACACCACACAACTTGCCTCCTCTTGTGGCTCCTATCAAAAGCTCTGCATGAGCCGTTTCCCTACCTGTTCTCTCTAATTTCGTGCCTCTCCTCTCTTCTCTTGCTCTCCTTACTTTATTCATCTTTTGGGAATTGTTTTTCTTTGCACAAACATGCTAATCATAATTCTATTTCAGGAAATTTTCATCTTCTGTTCCCTAAGATCCCTCTTCCTCAGAGAAGGCACTGAAAATTCAGTTTAATACTAGACCAAACGACCTTTCAAGAATATTTTCTTCCAATTTAATTTCTGTAATTTTAAGACATTTTTGCTGTGAAATAACTGGGATTGAACCAGATACTTTCTTAAAATGCAGCAAAGGGTGAAGGACGTCATCTCTGCTGTGGTAATAAAGCCTCAATTTCTAAAAATGCTTGGTTTTGCCTCTTGAGAGGGAAAATTTAGGACCATAGTTGTTATGGAGAAGGTACACTGAGCACACTTCAGCCAGCAATATTTGCAGAATAAAGGTGTCAGTGCTATTGGATTCTGTGTAACAAAGAAGTAAACCACACTGTTAAGGTTTCCCAGCTGGGAATATAGTTCAGTGGCATAAGCGCCTGCCTGGCAAGTGCAAGGTCCTGAGTTTGATTTCTAGTACAAAAAAAAAAAAAGGATGGAAAGTTAATGTTTGACAACTTGAAGTTTTCACCATAATAAATTCAGAGAACATTGACTTGTGCTCATTTCATGAAATCATCTTCCATACACTTAGGTGCTCTTTATAACTCTTTAAATCATGTCAAAAATTTATTGTTTAAAACTGTTAGGCACTGTATGATATCCCTAGAAATATCTGCTTGAATGTAGCTCATCAGGAGATCTAAGTTCTAAGAGTCCAGTGAGATTTTTAAGGACTGAGTTAAATCACTTTCCTCCTGTGGTTGGAAGCCACTAGGATGGCTTTGATAATTCTCACCTCTTGGAGTTAATTCTCTTTAGTAATACTGTGTGAGACAAGAGCTTAATTTGATTCATTCTAATGAATAATACACAAGCAGAAATGCTGGGTAGTCAGTATTGACGTTGGTTATAATTATTTTTGAAACTTTTGACTTCCCTCTTGGGTTTTCTCTCTCTCTCCCTCTTCATTATATGGTTTCTTTTATGGAAAGTTTGATTTTGCACACTAAGAGTTACCGAGTAGAGTCTCATATGACTGGACTTTGAAGTACATTTGAGCCCAGCCAAGACCGTTGTGCTGTGACACTGGACACAGATCTGAGACAAAGACCGACGTGAATGGATCTAGAAGTTTTCTTTCTCAGTTGACTTTGGAGGTGACAGAGGCCATAAGCTGGGTGACTTATGAACAGTCAGAATTTATTTCTCACAGATCTGGGGGCTGAGCACCCAAGATCAGGGTGCCAGCATAGTTGACTGTGGGGAGGGTCTCCTTCTAGATTTCAGACCATCCACTTGTTCTCCTGTCACACAGAGGCAGCAGAGCTGGGAAGCAGGCACTCCGTGATTCTCATGACACTTTTAAAACAATATTAGCATACCTCCAAGGTGATGCAAGGTAACATGCATGAACTGCCAATATGTACTAATAAAAATAAGTTTAAACATCCTATTCATCTTGGGGAATTGATAATATACATATTGAATTAATTCTTCTAAGGGCACTAATCCTATGCATCTGGCCTTTACCCTTATGACCTCATGGAATGCTAATACTTTATAAAAACCTCACTTCCTAAAATTATCACGTTGGTGAATATTAATGCAACACAAAAGTGTTTTGGGGATGTGAACTTTCAGTCCATAACAGTCTCCCAGGGTGCCACAGACTCATGAAGGGTGCAGAGGTGTAAACACCAGCCAAGACATGCTTGTATCTCTCACTCTCAGAAACTGTTAGCTGATAAACGCTTATTGTTATCATATCTGTGGTAATCTTACCTAGGGTAACCAAAAGAGACATCATTGATCACTGTGAAGTTCTTTCCTCTGTCCCTTAAATCTACAATTGGGCTTGAGTCTATAGGAATTGGCATGATCAGTAGTCATAGAGAAAAAAGATAGTGACCTGCAGAAGAAATGAAACTTTACATTGTGATACATCTGATACATAGCCAATTTAACACATAAAATGTTTAATATATATTAATTTTATCCTGAAGTATCTAGTTTATTTTAAAAGCAAATTTATAAAATAACTTGCCAAACTGCACTCTGAAGTGATGAAATGAGAACAACTAAGGCAGAGTGACCACTCTAGCCTGCTTACACAGAGATCATGTAGAAGAGATTTAGGAAGTGTAAACCCAGCTGGTGCGAAAGGACAGCGGTAGACAGGGCAGTCAGGAAGCAGCAGCTTTGATCTTCATGACTGCTGTCCTTACATTTCCAGCTTATACCAATGTCCTTTGAAAGAACATATTTTGATGTATTTGGTCCATGCACATTGCTACCATTTTAATTGGTCAAAATCCATTGATATCAATCCCCACTCCTGACCTTGCTATATTATGTTTCTGGTATCAGGAATCTCCAGCATCACTGATCTTTTTATTAGTGCAAAAGGAGAATTCTTTTAACATTATTTATATACCTAATACCTCCATGGCTCAAAGTAGCAGCCTGAAGCCCCAGCCTTCTTCCAATCTTTTATAGCCTATAGCATAGGAGCTCCAGTACTTTCACCTTATAGATAAACTTTCTCATAGCTAGCTGCTTCAAATGCAAGGTGTATTTTTATATAGATATATGCAGACAAATATGTGTGTTCATACACACAAATATAAATTTTTTCTGAGCTGTAAGCACTACAACAATATGTAATAGTTAATATAATAAGTAAAATAAAAATCACAACAGTTATTTCTTAGGTTCAAATCTACATAAGCAGTGCTTTAGTGTAGACTAAAATTAATCAGTTCTGTTTTGATTCCCTTTACAAACTGATGTGACATTTAAGCTGGATGGAAAATTTGATTGATTTGAGAGCTACCCAAATGATGAGTAAAGCACAATTCGGGGTATATCTGGCTTGAGAATGGAGGCATGACCTCGGGTACTGTATCCGTTCCATTATCTTCTATGGACTTGTTCCCCTCTTCTGCTTCTCAACCACCATGAAGTAAGCAGATTTGTTCCACAGCTCCATTTTGCCTTGGCAGTGGATGACCACAAGTGGAATCTCTGATTTCATGAACTAAATTAAACTTCTTCTGTATGTTTTGTGTTTGGTATTTTGAAACAGTAGGAAAGCTGACCAGTAGAGAAAAGTGGTACTAGAGAAGGGGAGTTGTTGCTGTGACTCTGCCTGGCCACGTAGTTCAAAGGTCTTTGGAAATGGTTTGCAAGAGAACTTTGCAAAGGTTTGGAGATGTAGGCCAGAGAAGCTCCAGAATGCTGTAAGTGCAGACTGATGGGGATTCTGGTCAGAGATCAGAAGACCAGAATGTTGTGAGGAATGCACACAGTAAAGGACAGGCTCACGAGTTTCACTTGGGAATGAGGACTCTGTTGAGAATTAGACTAGAGGCAATGCCTGTTACACTCTGATAAAGAACT